AATTATGTCTATATAACTTTGACTGTATTGTAAAATACGAAAAAACCAGCACGCAAAGTGCTCGGCTGGCGTTGATAGCATAAACTTGTGCCTTCTCTGTATGGCAAGCTCTCGTGAATGCAATCTTAAACAATTGGAATGTACGCGCAGTCTTATGAAATAAACATCTAAATGAGAACCAAATTTAAAATTAAAAAAATTGATCAACATTTCATGATGTATTTATTTGTACTTTATGGCACATTTATCTACAATACTTCTGCACTTATCGGAGCTTAAAAAAATGTTTCAGATGAAATTTTTGTATGATATAGCTCAAGGTGTATGAAGTTATACATATGGTATGGCTTTGATCTTGAGTCAACACTGGAAAAGTGAAGGTCTCATTCAAATTTTCAATCGTATATTTTTGCAGTCAACCGTTCAGGCGTTTTTGAAACAGTAAAAATGCTTTTGTATAAACCGTTATCGAAATGCACGCATTTAAAGTTGACATGCCATTGGATCCATATTGACGGTGCATCCACACATTGTCAGTAATACAGAATAAATTAAAGAATAGGTGGATTCATTTATGATCTGTAAGATCATCCAATATGTCGCGATTTCTTTTCCTAGGGATACATAAAACATAAATAGTTTATTGTACTTTTGACTGAGAGTACGATTGAATTACAAGAAAGATTAATTGAATCTGCCCGTACAAAAGTAACATCTACAGTGTTAGAAAAAGAAATGATGGGAAAACAATTCGAAAACAGATTAAAGAAATGTATTTTAATTAATGGAGGACATATTGAGGGGTAGTTATCTGATGATATTATTTTGAAATAACGGGCGCATGCATGTATGCAAATTGGTTGTTTCCGAGCAACCTTCGCGCGATGTACATCGGATAATGCTAATGATGTACATCGGCGCTAAGACCGAAGAGTTAATAAGTTCAGGTATCTTTCATCTGCTCGTATATTCTCGCTCGATATATATTGTCAACTAAATATGCACGTATACAAGAAACGTGCACTTATGCAAGATACAAGTGTACATTTGCAAAACATGCAAATTAAAAACTGTATTTTTAGAATCTCTTAAAGATACAGAAGAAATTTTTATTCAGATTTCATGAAACATATGCTTTGCACAAATATTATACAAAAAGACTTACATACATTGATGCTTTACTAGTGTTTAAACCTAAAAATATTTCTACTCCTCGTTTATGAAAGATAATAGTATAATAGTATAACCTGATGAGAGTCTGCACAATCTACGATTCGTTCACTTCTCTCTCTCTCTCTCTCTCTTTCTTTTTTTTTCTGCAAAACGATTTGTTGTCTTGGCCAACTTACCAATCTGCTCAAAGTGAAATGGTATCAGTTGAGATTGTCAAATGTGAATTGAAAGGATTGCGGTAGTGTAAAAAGCACGCTTTTGAAATTTTCAAAGAAATTTGAAAAGAGAAAAAAATGAGTAATTAAATGTACAAAGGGAGAGTTATAAGGAAGCAGAAATTTCCAGATAGAATGGGAACAAGAAGAAAGGAAGAGAGAGAAGAATGTAACAATGTGTCTACATCTCGATGCTGATTCTTTATTGTAGTATGAGCGTAAGATTTTTGCATAACCTATTTGAATGGCGATTTGATCTATTCTGACATGATTCTTTCATATCTTTAAATACGAAATATTCAAACAGCGATGTGGAGATAATTTCCATTTTGCTTTTAAAAAGACGTACACAGATATGTTGATATCATCACCTCTTGGTAGCCAATGATTGAAATTCACATCTGATAGATATGAAGTAATTATTTATTACTACTTTACTGCTGCAACACAATAAAATTACCCTTAATTAAAAAAATTATAATTGAACTTTTTGGATCCAGAATTTGGAAATTTCTGAATTTTAGAATTTTTGAATTTTATTTATGGATTTCAAACAATTTAGAACGTTCTAAAGTTCAAAATATCTATTTGCTATTTTTTTCCAGTTTTCTGAGAATGAGCATGTAAGTCGCTAATTCACTGTAGTGAATCCCATACTGCTCGTGTGGTTTCTGCTATAAGTCGAGCAGTAGTATATTCTTTTCTTGCGAAATAATGATGAAAATGTGGTTATATATCTATAACCGAAATATTATATATAATCCGTTATATGTTCAAAACCGAAGTTTTTCATTATATATAACTGCTGATTTTGAAGGAATATTAGGGATGGTTTCTTAACAGGCTTGGAACCAACTGCAAGTGATCCTTCTGTAATGCAAAGGAAGCAACATTGCCTGCATAATATCGTGCAGTTTGTATTTCTATTTGTGAAACCGTTTTCCAAAATTGTGGAAACCTTCTACTTCCATCAAATAAAGGAACAGAATTATGAGATCATTCAACAAAGAACCTCAAAAGAACCAACAAAATATATAGAAAAAAGTTGAAATCCTCCTTGATGAAGTAGATACTACGTTAATTATTTAAAGCAAAACAGAAGACTACCAAAAATTGTGTCTATCTTCTTCTATCCGTTTTCCTTCTCATTCTTCCTTATCACCATCGCCAAAGGTTTCCCTTGGCTGCGCCAGTCACTTTATTGACAGAGCAGGCCTGTTCGATAACGATACGGAGGCCCAATTCACTCATCTTCTCCGTACCGGATCTGGGAGCTTCGATACCTCCTGAATCAGTAGTTGTCTTTTCTGAGTCCTCCTATCCGTTGTCTGTTGGTCGTCTCAATCATATATTACGCACTAAGAGATCCATCCCGCACGCAGTGGCGCCTCACAATGGTCCGGTGGCCTGCTCGAGCATCCCGCTGTACCATGGCTGAGGGCTCTGTTATCCCCTGCATCAGTAGGTGTCTCTCTCTTATAATCTAGTAGAGTCTTACATTTTCTTAAAAGTATCCTTTTTAGTCGCTTTTTATGACATGCAGAGATTGTATTGGGTCTATTCTGTCCCCGAACTCTTAAGAAAGGAAACTAAGTAATCTAACCTTCTTCTTTTTTTATTTACGTGTCGAGAAATCTTCATAAATACCCCGTTCCTCTTGGGAGAAGAGTAGGGTAGTGGCGGATTCTTACCGCCCTAAAGCCCTACATGGTTTGTGTGTCCATCTCGGCGCATTAAAAGAGGAGACTAGAGACTCTTGTCCAACCGGTCTCCCCTCGCGCGAAGAGATTTCCTCCGCCACTCGTACCATTGCCTGTGTGGCTTTAACACGGAGTGTGACCACAACACTCTGCGTTCCCGTCCCATGCTATCGTGCAATACGCTAGTAGCCTGA